GTGAACTCAAGACACATCCGGTGGAAGGTGATGTGGTGTCTGAGCTAGGATTGCTGTTGAAAACAGTTCTTTAAAATGATTGTTTATTAAATAAAAGCAACAACAATCTGTACTCTCAGCACGCTGCCATCTTATATTAACCGAGCAGGGAGTGAGGTGGCGGGGGCTCCAAGCCGATTTAGCCTTGGTCCCCAAATGCCTTGATACGGCCCTGGATGTGGGACTGACTTTTGAGGGTGATCTGATTCTATCACATGGATAAATATTAAATGCTTTTCACAGGTAAAAATGTGTATTGGGGATAAATCTGCCCATTTTTTTTAACTTTTCAAGCACTTTTGTTTAGATTTCTTGATTTTATTTGAATAATTTCCTGCCCTTTCTCTCTAACCTTCCTGCATGCTGCATCTTTTCTCAGTCTTCCAGAAAAACTGTTTCCTAGACTTCCTACTTTCTAACTAATCAGCCAAAGGGATCTTAACATGTGCTGCACTCCAGCAGCAATGAGTTTAAATCACCGGGGTACAGATTATGAACTCAGCTGAGGCAAAGCACGTCAGACAAGTACAGAAAGTACCAGAGAATATGCACCGATATGAATGATCACAAGTGAATTATTTTGTTTTAGTGGAGCGATTTTGTGAATGTTACAGCGGCCGCGTGCAGGACGCAGCTGGAGTAGTTGAGCCGGTAGCGCTACGTCCTCTCTGCCCGCAAAGCTGAGTCCATAAATGACGTAATATATGCAGATACTGGATCTTTTTTCGGGCTTCCCACAATTTTAATTTTTAAGAAACGCATCTTGATTCTGGGTTTAAAAACGCATTGTAATTACCACATTACTGACAATTGTACAGAGTAAATATTACCATTTTGTTTCCCTGTAATGCCTTACATTACCACATTACAGCAAAAAGCACTGCATTACAGAAATTAATTACTTTTGTACCGCATTACTCCCAACACTGGGTGATTGTAGAGGTTGTTGAGCCCAGTGAAATCCTTGCTATGTTTTAGAAACCAGTTAGAGATGCTACCATACCATAAAAAATGATAGATGTAATAACTTCCCCTTCCCAAGCATTGAGCGTTCAAAAGACTTCTGCAGAAACCTCAAATTTTAAAGAAAATGTTTCCTGTTTCCAGTATTTCCCAGTACAAATTTTTCCCATTAATTGGCTGATGTCAGACCGGGAAAGAGTTGAGTTAGTTTCAGTTGCACTCTAACAATGACTATACGCAGAAACGCTGTAGGCAGGAAGTTGATTTAGTGTCACGTTGCGGGTGTGGATGACGGCGAACCATGTGTGGTGGAGCAGATCAGGAGGCAGGAATGCAAGTACAGATGAAATAAAAGTAGTTTTAATGGCAGAGCGGGAACGACAGAACAAAAACAACACTGACAACAAACAATAATCCGACAAAGACTGATACAAGAGGGGAGGTATAAATACACAGGGGAAAATCAGGAACACATGGGCGGATTAACACGGGGCAGGTGAGAACAATAAAGACCAATCAGGCAGGGGAGAGACACAGTCAGGGAGGCAGGGGCAGATTGTGACAGTACCCCCCCTTAAGGGGCGGATACCAGACGCCCACAAAAGCCACGTAACACTGGAGACTCGGGACACTTGCACTTGGGAACTGGAACACTTGAGACGTCGACTCGGGAAACAGGAATACTCGGACTCGGGACACTTGAACACTCGGACTCGGAACTGGAACACTCGGACTCGGAACAGGAACCCTCGGACTCGGAACAGGAACCCTCGGACTCGGAACAGGAACCCTTGGACTCGGAACTGGAACACTCGGACTTGGAACACTGGAACTCAACAGCAGCAGGCGCGGGACACTGGAACTTGACAGCAGGACACTGGACCTCGACAGCAGCAGACACGGGACACTGGAACTCAACAGCAGGACACTGGGAAACACTCGGAACTGGAACACTCGGAACTGGAACACTCGGGAACTTGGAAACAGGAACTCGGGAACTTGGACTCTGGAACTCGACAGCAGCAGGCGCGGGACACTGGACCTCGACAGCAGCAGGCGCGGGACACTGGAACTCGACAGGACACTGGGGAACAGGAACACTTGGAAACTGGAACACTTGGACTCGAACTGGAACACTTGGACTCGAACTCGGGAACTGGAACTGCAGCAGCCGGCGTGGGATCCTGTAGGGACTGCAGCAGCAGGCGTGGGACCCAGTAGAGACTGCAGCAGCAGGCGTGTGACCCAGTAGAGACTGCAGCAGCAGGTGTGGGACCCTGTAGAGACTGCAGCAGCAGGCATGAAACCCTGTAGAGACTGCAGCAGCAGGCGTGGGACCCTGAAGAGGCTGCAGCATGGAGGACCTGCAGGCATAGGCCCCGCAGGCGTGGACCAGGAAGTTGCTGAACTGCAGGAGCGACGCGAGGAAACCCAACTCGGTGGCTGATACTCAACAAACGGTCTGAGCAGGTGCACATCACGGTACGCTGGGTCACAGGCAGAGGCTTGGGTGCAGGGAAGCAGAAGAAGGAGCGGGGAGACCAGCCCTACCACCCCGGAGAATGATGGCGTGCGTAGGGGGTTTTACTCCACCAAAACCCCAGGATCCGCGGCTTCCGTTGGGAAAAAACAGGACGGGGCCGAAAGCAGGAGAGGAGAATGGGTTCGACCACCCCGGGAACAAATAGGATGCGCCAAAACCCCCTCAATGGGTCCGACCACCCCGGAAACAGCTAGGATGCGTCGAAACCCCTCGAGTCGGAACCTCCCTCCGCTAAATAGAGAAAAAGCAAAAAAAAAAAAAAATCCTCCAGGCAGATGTTTAGAGCTCACCACAGGTCCAGGTTGGTCGGATCATTCTGTCACGTTGCGGGTGTGGATGACGGTGAACCATGTGTGGTGGAGCAGATCAGGAGGCAGGAATGCAGACACAGATTAAATAAAAGTAGTTTTAATGGCAGAGCGGGAACGACAGAACAAAAACAACGCTGACAACAAACAATGATCCGACAAAGACTGATACAAGAAGGGAGGTATAAATACACAGGGGAAAATCAGGAACACATGGGCGGATTAACACGGGGCAGGTGAGAACAATAAAGACTAATCAGGCAGGGGAGAGACACAGTCAGGGAGGCAGGGGCAGAGGAGAGACACAGTCAGGGAGGCAGGAGCAGATTGTGACATTTAGAGGTAGAACAGAGAAAAGGAGCCGTTACAACCTGTTACTAAAAAGTCTCAAACCACATAAGAGTAAATACAAATAGTCCCACGTTATAAAAACACATATATCTTTCTGTAATAAAAAGCACCAGGTTTAATTACATAACACAGCAACATGAGATAATACACCATGCAGTTGTTAATCCAACAAAAACTAAGGGAAATGTGGAAACAAAGGATAAACCAATCAGAGCTGAAATGTTTCCAAACAATTTGGAGTTCATTATTCCACAGAAATATTTTTCACAAGAAGTGAACAATGAAGTCGGTTTAAATTTTTCTGATTTAGCAAGTTACCCTGAGGATAGGGTAAACAGTGTACAGGGACTACCCAAGAAAAACAAGACTCTACAAGTATTGGCACGTGACAGACAACATTCATATTGGTATAACCTGTTTGGGTGTAAAGGCCCAAAAATAAAACACAATTTATTAAAAAAATTGTCTCTGAACAAATCACTCACTATGTGGAACAAACGTTTGGGAAAACAAGACTAAAAGGGAGAGGCCTGACCAAAGATACTGTTTGAATATAATACAAGGTGCTGCAGTACTTTATGATGCCATACAATATGATGCGGTATGATTTGATTTAATATGAAACAATAGGTAATGTTATGCCTTAATATAGGACAATAGAATACAATATGATGCAATACAATATGAAACTGTATGATATAGTGAAATAATATGATACTGTAAAATACAGTACTGTATGATATGATATGATATGATATGATATGATATGATATGATATGATATGATACAATACTGTACAGTACAGTACGGTAAAGAATGATGCAATACATTATATGATAGCGATACAATACGATACAATTACGGTATGGTACAGATGATATGATACATTATATGATAACGATATGGTACGATACGATATATTATATGATATGAAATTATATGGTATAGTATGGCATTGTATGATACAATATGATACATGATATTATGTGAAACAAAATCATAATTGTGTGATACAAAAAATATGAAACTGTGAGACATGATACGACACATTATGATACGTTGTGATATGATACAAGACAATATGATACCGTATGATATAACACAATACAATATGATACTTAAAGACATGATACTGTTAAAATACTGTACATTACCATATGATACCAAACATTATGATGCAATATGATATGATACAATAAAATATGACATGATAGAGTACAATACAAAGTAATGCAACATGATGCAATGAGAAAGAATGTAATACTCTACATTATGATGTAATACAATATGCAATGAGACACGATAAATTGTGATACAATATTCTTAGTTGTTCCTGTAAGGCATTTCAGCAAAAACACTTCACACTAGTTGTCAAGCATGGTAGTGGTGGGCTGATGGTTTTGGCTTGCAACAGAACCTGGGTACCTTTGAGTCACTGACTCAACCGTACACTTGCCTGTTTAAATTAAAATACTCCAGGGTCAAGTCTGATTCCAGTTGTTTGTTATTTGAAGTTTGGCTGAAGTTTCCCCAGAAGAAGCTACAATGACGTTCTGCTGAGCTGTGGTGGCCTCATGGAGGGGGCCATCGACTAGCACACTGCTGCTAACCACTAATACATTCTCCCTCTCCTGATAATAACTTTTTGCTTTCCTTGACGTGCGATGTGCTAATACAATAAATACAATAAAGTTTATCTTTCACCAAATAGAATATTTACTAAGACATCACATTGTAACTACAGACACATTACTTGTCTTTGTGTGTGTGCGTGTGTGCGCGTGCGTGAGTGCGTGCGTGCGTGCGTGCGTGCGTGTGTGTGTGTGTGTGTGTGTGTGTGTGTGTGTGTGTGTGTGTGTGTGTGTGTGTGTGTGTGTGTGTGTGTGTGTGTGTGTGTGTGTGTGTGTGTGTGTGTGTGTGTGTGTGTGTGTGTGTGTGTGTGTACTCTGTCTTCTCGATCCCCAGTGAGTCGTGGAGGATGGCTGCTTATACTGAGCCGGGATTCTCTAGAGGTTTCTTCCTGTTAAAAGAGAGTTTTCCTCTCCACATTCGCTATATGCTTGCTTAGTATGAGGATTGCTGTAAATGCAATTTGCTGGGTTCCTTATATAGGAAACATTATTTCTGATTGGCTTAATGAACTGTGAATTGGAATGTTTATTATGTGAAGTGCTTTGAGACGACTCTTGTCGTGATTTCGCGCTACATAAATAAACTTGAATTGAATTGAACTGAAACTGATTCCTGCATCAGAGCTATGACCCAAACTCTACAGATGAATACCAGCTGTAAAATAAAAAGCATTCATTGTAAAACATCATCACAACATCCAAACTGCTAAATACTGTAATTGATCTAAGTCTATCAAGCTTGAAGTTTTTTTTTAACAATTTTGAAATTTGGATAATGGTCTGGCTGGAAAGGCCGTTAAGGTAAAAATGTTCAACCAGAAAACTTGATAAATGTTTTATATCACGGTTCTTGTTTTGAATATCCTCCCTTTTTTGTTGGGAAACTTACAGTCATTATTGTTTTAGCGACACGCTTACAGTAAATTCATTACAGGAGGAAAAACCGGGAAGTCCCTTTGAAAATAAACAACAAAACAAAAGGTTAATCTTATCAGGAAGACTCTCAAAATGAGTCAAACACACATTGACACACACACACTACAGGAAGGGCTCCCAAGTTTGTTAATGCTGGCCCTGATTCAAACGGAAATCACCATGAAAGGAGGTTGAGGCGGGAACAACTGAAATGAGTTTTGGAGGTTTCCAGGCGTCACACACTCACCCACACACACAAACATGGAGAAACACACCCTCATTGTCAACAAAGGCAAAGGACAACGAGGTGAACGGGGGCAATGACAGGAAGGAAGGTGAGATCACATGTAAGTATGAGTTAGGGTAAACCATGTTGAATCTGAGCAACATTTAAACATAAATGATTAATGAGGGTTTCATTGTGGCATAAATCTGATTCCTGTGTTTACAGCTAGTGTTGTGTGACTTATATAGCAAGCAAATTTGCCATATAAAAGTTAAACACGATTTTAAAGCAGACATCCTAAATTTCTGATTACCTGATTGCCATTATTTCTACTGAACAATGAACACATAAGATTCTTTCCATTTAACATTTTTTACCCTTTGTGTTTATTTCAGCTACAGATAATTATTTTTATGGAAAATTAACATTATCAATAGTTTAAAACAATCTGACGTGATCTGAAATGTTATTTAAAGAAAGGAAGATTAGATTTTATAGCTATGTAGAGTTTCAAATTTCATATTTATATATGAAAAATGTGACATTTGTCCAAAAATGAATGACATTTGTGATGTCTGAAATACTGATTGTTAATAGGATTAAAGCCCTATTTCATATCTGAAATGCTTTGTCTCCTTTTTAAAAAGGCAACAACATTATGGATATCTGCAATACATCTCCACTCAGAAAATCTTGGTAAATGACCTGTATTTGTAAAGCGCCATCTTAGGGTTCACCCAAGGCGCTTCACAACACAATCAGTCATTCACCCATTCACACACTGGTGATGATGAGCTACAATGTAGCCACAGCTGCCCTGGGGCGCACTGTCGGAAGTGAGACTGCCGAACACTGACGCCACCAGTGCCTCCGACCACCACCAGCAGGCAAAGTAGGTTAAGTGTCTTGCCCAAGGACACAACAGCATTCTCCGGCGGGAGCCGGGATCAAACCTACAACCTTCCGATTATTAGACAACGCACTCTACCTCCTGAGCCACTGCTGTCCCTTCATAGATTTACTCCATTGCTGATCGACTTTGTAAATTCATTCTCATTCAAGAGGACTGCGTAACTGATCTTAGCAAACACAAAAAATGGCTACGACTAAGTCAATCTTACAGATACTATCGAAAAAAAATTTGGCAAAGTAGTAACTGGTGTCATCCGTCACATATTCCATCCATCCATCCATCCATCCATTTTTTTCCGCTCATCCAGAGTCGGGTCGCGGGGGCAGTAGCGTAAGTCGAGAGGCCCAGACTTCCCTCTCCCCAGCCACTTGGGCCAGCTCCTCCGGGGAAATCCCAAGACGTTCCCTGCTAGCTGAGAGACATAGTCCCTCCACCATGTCCTGGGTCTACCTTTAGGTCTCCTCCTGGTTGGACTTGCCTGGAAAACCTCACCAAGGAGGCGTCCAGGAGGCATCCTGACCAGATGCCCGAACCACCTCAAGTGGCTCCTCTCAATGTGGAGGAGCAGCGGGTCTACTCCGAGCCCCTCCCGGATGACCGAGCTTCTCACCCTATCTCTAAGGGAGAGCCCAGCCACTCTTCGGAGAAAACTCATTTCAGCCGCTTGTATCCGCAATCTCGTTCTTTCGGTCACTACCCAAAGCTCATGACCATAGGTGAGGGTAGGAACGTAGATCGGCCAGTAAATCGAGAGCTTTGCCTTCTGACTCAGCTCTCTCTTCACCACGACAGACCGGTACAACGCCCGCATCACTGCAGATGCAGCACCAATCCGCCTGTCAATCTCACGCTCTAGTTTTCCCTCACTCGTGAACAAGACCCCGAGATACTTAAACTCCTCCACTTGGGGCAGGACCTCATCCCTGACCCGGAGAAGATATTCTACCCTTTTCCGAATCAAGACCATGGTCTCAGATTTAGAGGAGCTGATTCTCATCCCAGCTGCTTCACACTCGGCTGCGAACCGCTCCAGCGAAAGCTGAAGATCACGTTCTGATGATGTCATGTTTATGGGAAGATGTTTTTCCCAAGACATGAAAGAATCACACTATGGAGACGGTGTAAGTAACAATAATACAATAATTTTTATTAAGAATGGTGAGTAAACTAAGGGTGCTGCTCCAAACGGGAACAGGGTGAACCGCAATCTAAAACGAGAAGCGGACAGATATTAGATAAACCCGGAACCAGAGAACCAAGAATATGATTTGTTTTTGGAGGTTATTCTCACAATTGATGACCAGGACTGGTGAGGATGGACTGGGTCTTTGGGACCAGGTGGGAACGGACGAATGGCAGGAGTTCAGATCCAGGACAAGACTGGGAAGCAGGCTGAGAGGCAGGCAGGACGACAGGCGGACGGTGGAGAGCGGAGGCCAGGGGATCTTGAGCAATGTGACGTCGGTAGACAACTCCAGGCGACGGTAGGTTCGTTCTGAGGACAGACGAGCAGGAACTTTCAGGACTCGACAACAGGCAAGTCAAGACTGAGACTGGAACAGGCAGACAAAAGATTAAAGCTGGAGCAGGCAGACTAAGACTGTGGCTGGCTAGTAGTTACCCGAGGTGAGAGTATCAACCGGCACTGGAGTTGGGTCACACCGCTCCTTAAATACCCCTGGCCCTCGGATCAGGGAGCTCAGGCACAGCTGGCTCTCCGACACGCCCACCTGTAAACACAAACCTGAGACGATTGATTGTTATTAGGAATGATCAGGGCAGACCATGACAGATTAAGCCAACAGGACCACATCATCTGCAAAAAGCAGAGACCTGATTCTCAGGCCACCAAAATGGATGCCCTCCACACCTTGGCTGCGCCTAGAAATCCTGTCCATAAAGGTTATGAACAGAAAAGTGTTAACTGATAATGGAATATCTTTGTTTCATGTTTAACCATTTGGTCAATTTTTGGACAGGAGGGTCAAGTCAACCCGGTTTGCCTGTCAGCAAAATACCTTATACAGCATTTGGCATTATTTAATAAAAAAGATTCATGTTGGCTATTTGGAACACCATTAGCAATCGACACCTGGGTACTTTGCATAGAGGTGGCATGCAACCATAACAGTCATATCAATGGAGGTGCAAACACACCAGTCACAATTGGCACATTAACACCTTACATGGTTGTAGCCTTGTTCTCACGGGGGAAGTGATTACTGGACATTTCTTTTTACAATTGTTGAAGAAAATCAAGAATTCAGCTTGAAGTGGTCAGAGATCTAAACTAAACAAGGTTTGGAGCAACTATGAACTCTACACCAACACTGAAAAACACAGAAGCACATTTATACCGATTTAACAGTTAAATGTTCATCTATTAAAGAGACTGCATCACTTATAAGATCTTGTAGCATTCAAACAGTATCAGTGTCCTTTTAAAATTAAACACACTTCTTCACACACTTCTCAGTTTTGTGCCTCTTTGAGTATAATGACAGTTATACATCATTATAGGAGTGTTGGGAAATTTCTGGAGGGGTGACAGGGAAAAATGGCTAGGTTAGGGTTAGGTCCTCTCGTGCCTACTGCACACTGGAAGCATCATCGGCACGGAACGGCAGCGCAATGTCTTTGCTTCAAATGGACTCCATTATAGTCAGGGGAGCACATAACATCTTTGGGTTGGTACTCAGGGGAGAACCTATGGTTGATGCTTGGTCCTCACATTTGTTGATGCACTTCATTCTTAACCCAACTCACAATAGGAACAAAACAGAGTAACGTGTTGACGATGCAACATATTTTAATACAGGCACACATAGCCAGCTTAACTTAAACCTTCTAATTTAAAAATAGCATGACTGAATTGTCTGAATGTAAAACACAATGTGTAAACTGCTGCTTTTGTGATAACAAAAATCAAATCAAATAAATTTTAAAGCACTTAACAAAATGACTTTTTCAGAGCACTGACATTTTTTAAATGGCATAAATGCTGTTTTTATTCCTACAGACTCTCATCCTCCTCACTATCCTGACTGGCTTCCTCCAGTTCACACACAGCAGAGGATGTGGATGGTTCAGGCTTACTCCTTTTCTCCTGGTTCAGCCTGCGATTAGCTGTTTTCATCCACAAGTCAACCGATGGATTTGGGCCAAAGGTTTCTGTGGTAAACTGGGACGGCATGATGTGCATTAGCGATGAGAGCCGATTGTCTGACAGGCTAGGTCTGTACTTGTTTTTGGTGATATTCAAATGTGAAAATCCTCTCTCACATGCAGCGCTGCTTAAAGGTAGTGTGAGGGACAGAAGAAGGACCTTCAGCTCGTCTTTACAACATTCATCAGGTCACGCACAGAGGAGGCCGCCAAACATCTCCCAGCTTGCTTTAAGTGCATCCACTCTCTTAAAGTGGATTCTCTGTCAACAGACATGATGGACTCACATATTTGTCAAGGATGTTACTTAGAGTTGCGTTACCAAAGCTGAGGAGATCTTTAGCTAGACAGGAAATCACACACGGTTTCACTGTGATTTTCAATACAAAAGTGTACTGCAGTGATGCAATTTCATATCCATGTATATTATGTCAAAACAAGTGACTTAATTGGTATTTTACTCCCTGCATTGTTCCAGAAGTGCAGCGATGTCCAGTAGGGGTCAGCTATCCCTTTCTGGACTTTGCTAAGACAGGAGCAAATCACAACTTTTTTTGGCACTGTGACTAACGTCTGATCAGCACCAAAAGGTGTCCACAGACATAAAAAAAAATTTTTTTTTAAGTTTAATTCTGTCAAAGCATGCCGTAATTTTATCTCTTCGGGAGACAGGAAGAGCAACTGTGTGACATGAAAACAGCTTTCAAAAACTAGAAGAAACGCAGTTTTTTATGGTACTCTAAATGTGGCAAGGTGGATAAACGAGGGCCCAGGCGGGATTTGATCCCCAGACTCCCAGGTGAGAGTCATACGCTCTAACCAGTCAGCCAAAGGGACATCCCCTTGGCCAAGTAGCCAGGGCACATGATCAATCGGGACATTGTGACAGGACACTCACACTGTCACATATAGGAGACCAGAATGCGGCCAATTTAGTGGTGTTGTTGGCAGGATTTCTACAGCATTTTGTTTTTTTATGTTGATTTTGATGTTGAGAAACCTGGGATTTTAAAGCGGCGTCAACACTGCTTATTATCGTTCGCATTCTGCTTCACCGGCAACTCTTTGAATTTGACAAATGTCGATTGTTTAGCAATGTCTGCCAATTTATTTCCAACTGAGTTACAACCAATCAGCATGAGATAACTACAGGTCCCACCCAGAAACTCTACCATTTCCAAGTGCATGTATTCAGTTAGTTGAAAGGGCCCTGAAAGTGGCCCTTTTGAGCCAGCCCAGTGAAATGGAGACGTATGCCATGAATGTCCGATCGAATAACGGTAAAGATCTGGCGGAAACATGCCTAATAAAAGACGATTCTCTATCCTATTTAAATGATAAATGACCCGCCCTTGTATAGCGCCTCTCAGAGTAAGGACTCCAAGGTGCTTTACACTACAGTTTATCATTCATCCATTCACACACACATTCACACACTAATGGTAATGAGCTACGATGTAGCCACAGCTGCCCTGGGGCGCACTGACAGAGGCGAGGCTGCCGAGCACAGGCGCCACCGGTCCTCCGACCACCACCGGCAGGCAACGTGGGTTAAGTGTCTTGCCCAAGGACACAACAGCAGAATTTCTCTCCATAACCTTTTAGCAAAGTTCTTCAATGACCAAATGGCATGATGCATTGTGGGTAGTGAGACTTCTGGGTTGTCTACAAAACTGTTAAGGTTTGTGAGGTTTGATTATTAGTGAGACTGGCCTGCCTTTGTTTACAAACCAGACCTGTGTGTGCGTGTGCGTGTGCGTGTGCGTGTGTGTGTGTGTGTGTGTGTGTGTGTGTGTGTGTGTGTGTGTGTGTGTGTGTGTGTGTGTGTGTGTGACGTTATACCAGCCGGAGTTTCATCATTACATCATCACTTTTGTGTCTCGTGCTGTTTATTTTAGCTCGTGTTACTTCCGCCTGTGACTCCTCCCACCAGTCTCAGATAAAAGCCCCAGCAGTCGGCTCTCTCAGGAGGAGACTAGCCGACCCTACAGGATGTTTTCAGAGCTCGAGTGCGGAGTTTGTTACCGGACCTACAACGCGGCTCGCCGCTGTCCCCGGGAGCTCCACTGCCACCACAGCTTCTGCGAGAGCTGCCTCCGGGCTCTGAGCTGCCCGCTGGCCCCCGGAGAAGGGCCACGAATGGGGGCCGACCGCTCCATCAGTTGCCCGCTGTGTCGACACCCCACGCTGCTCGCCGCCGAGGGGGGCGTCAGGGCCGAGCTGAGGGTGGACGAGACCGTCCTGGAGCGGCTGCTGGCGGCCGGTGTCCTCGACAGAGAGGAGGATTCGGAGGAGGACCGCGACGAGGAAGAGAATGAGGCGGAGGTGCCAGAAAGTCAAGCCGAGCAGGGTGAATTTTCAGCGGACGTCAGAGGTGGGAGGCTCCGGCGGTCCTGGAGGAAAGTGTGGAGGAAGGTCAGCGGGCGGAGGGAAGGTGAGCATCCTGCCTCTTCAAGCTGTTTCAGCCCACAGATGGATTATTTACATACGATAGTTGCTTTTATTAGAGGGGTCAAATACATCAGATCAGCCTACTAATAATTAAGACTCAAAAACACTGAAAGTTACAAAGAACAGGAAATTAAGATTTTAACCAAATAAACATGACCCGCACTTTGTATAGCGCCTCTCAGAGTAAGGACTCCAAAGCGCTTTACACTGCAGTGTATCATTCATCCATTCACACACACATTCACACACTGATGGTGATGAGCTACGATGTAGCCACAGCTGCCCTGGGGGCACTGACAGAGGCGAGGCTGCCGAGCACAGGCGCCACCAGCAGGCAAGGTGGGTTAAGTGTCTTGCCCAAAGACACAACAGCAGAATTCTCTGTCCAGAGCCAGGATCGAACCTGCAACCTTCCGATTACTGGACAACCCAGAACATGATGCAGCAACTCGTTATCTGATACTGAACATTTGGGTTGTTTTTAACAAAGTTTCTTTTTAACACCGATTCTGCGTTTAAGAGGGACGACTCTTACTTTTAATTAAATCAGTTATTAAAAATATATTAATTGACTATTTCTCATACCTGAACTATATAGCTTGGAGTAAATCATCAACCCACAATACACAAAAACTCTACATACGACCTATTGACCTACCAGTAAGACACATCTTACAGTAACTAAGTGAAAACTCACAATAAATCAGCGTTCACTGTTTTCTTACTCATTTTTCTTTTTGTCGTCCTACAGCCTGCATGAGCAACGATGAGTTCAGGGCCCTGGCCATGATGTCCAGCTACATGTTCTGATTGGTGCACCCTGGACAATGCGACGCTATTAAAGTTCAACGTTTCTCCCACAGACTGAGGAAGATGATGATGAGACTTTGCTGTAGAGAAAGAATGATTAAAAATGTATTTCCGTGCGTTTGTTTGCTAAATTCTGACTGTTTAACAGTGTTTCACTATATTAGGGAGATGTTTCACTGCCTAAGTCCACGCGGATGTATTTAATATTTATTTAAAGTTTTTATAAAATGTGTATTATATTTTTTTTACCTTTTGTGTTTAAGAACAAATAAATGACTTGTTTTTATTCTCAAGTTTTTTGTGGATATAGTTTGGGCCTGTACATACTCAACAGTACATGTGCAACAGTAGCAAGAAATGTTGCCATTAAAATAAGGAATTCAACTTTCTTCGGATTTAAGAAAATAAAAAAAGAAATGCGATAAATGTAGGATATTCCTTTCTGATGTGAAATAAAGAAAAAGCCCCCCCCCACCCCCCCACCCCACCCACCCAAGACCAGGTTCTCACACCTTAAGAAGCCATTTGTCCACTGGAATAAAACTTGTTTAAAGCTGCAACTGATACAAGACTTTTGGGAAAAAAATATACAATTTATAATTATTGGAAACAAATCTACATAAAGTGATAAGGGACAGTGTTATGTAAGCCATTGTACCAGGAAGTACCACGGGTTGTCAGTAATTTCTTTCCAAGCGTTTTAAAATCTTCCTCACGTGTAGCGGCGGTCAGGCATCCATGCTAGCTTTTCACTCAAGCGCTTCTTTTCTCTCTTACTTACATTCTCATCTTCTACTGCCCCCTAGTGGTAGACACAACAGACAGGTAAACACTGTTTTAGGGAACCTACAGAACAAGCTAGAGGGTTTTTCTCAAAGTCAAGAAACCTCGCCTTGATGCCACCTCGGTTGCCTTGGAGATACGCAATCAGGAACTGCCAAGGCCTTTCAACGCCTAGAGCTTCCTGGCAGGATCACAGAAGGCGCTTAATAAATAAAGCTTTGACTGATTGAAGGAGTGTTCCAATATTCATGTTCTACCGAGGTGTCTGTCCTCTGTTTGTTAGCCGTAATTGAGCAAAGATGCATGCAAGGTGCCTCGTTGCCTTCTCTTGGTCAAAAGTTTCCCAGGATACAGTGCAGTATTTTCAAAAAGATGGCGGATCAGCAGCTACTTCAGGGCATATTTGAAGTTTAAATGCAAGTCAGCTAATTGTAGCTATCGGGCTGACATCTGCAATGTTTTTCTATCCAAAGCAGTTAGCTATGGCGGGTTAGTGGCTTAGCTTTGGTAGCTAGCAGGTAGTAACTCGCTTTCATATTCAATTTAACCAATATACACAATTAAAAAGTAAAAGGCTCATTAGACATTTAAAATGAAACTTATACGTATGAAATATAACTTTACCTCACGTGACGTCACATGATGTAATTCTGTTCTATTTAACCATTTTCATTGACCAATGAAGGACAGCGTCCTCGTAAGCAAGGCGCCTGACATTGAGAAACACGGTCACAAAACACTCACCCTTCCTCTCGTGTATCTTCCCTGAGACACTTCTGCAGGAACCAGAAATCTGCGATGTCAAAGGAAACGGCATAGTGCTAAACACCATTCACCGTTTCCCAGTTGGGATCGACTTCAAATGATGTTTTTGTTTTTGGGACTCTGGTAGTTTGTCCTAAAGTTGAAATGGTAGCAGCCAGCTTCTCTCATATTATTGAGCCAGCGACGCAAGCGTGAGTGCATAATGAATGGAGGACCCAGGTAGCTGCGGCGGTTCGGCGAGACCGACAACCGGATGGTACAGTAGCTGCTTTCGGTCAGAAATGTGTCATTGGTGGAGGTTTTAGACAAATGCGAGAGAACTACTTCATTTTTTTTTTACATATCCACAATATATTCATAGCTACACTATGTTAGAACGTTTTTTAAGAGGCATGAAGTAAATGTTTTATGCTAATTTGTTTTCCAAATTTTTCATTGCAGCTTTAAAGTCAGAAATACCTTTGTAAGTACCTACTATAAGGGATTTGTTTTTAATGTGACAATCACCAATTACATAGGCTTAGGTTTCAAAAATAAGTAAAATTAATACTTTTGCAAAAATAGTATTTTATTTTTTAAGTGATGTGCAAAAATGGCTAAAATATAGATTACTAATTAGTTTCATTCTGTTACGCATATTCATTCCGACCACTCTGTCAAAAACTGAAAAGATGCTTTTTATCGCATCTAAAGTTAAACAGTTACAAAAGTTAGTTTTTATCATTTCTAGCCAAAGTTAAGAGCCAGAGCCGCAGGTTTCCGATCCTGTGATAGAGGAGAGACGAGCTGAGTCCTGATGATCAGCCAGGTGGATATTATTGCCTCCAATCAGCCGCAGCAGCAGCGCTGCACGGCAGCTAACCTGTAGGACCTAAAGAACAAGGCCTGACATCATCTCTGCACCCAACTTTAAGGTCCTGTTTAGAAAATTAAACAAATCTCGGTGGAATATGTCGACCATGTTTGGAAATGTTGCACTCAACTTCAGGTAAAAGTAATTTCCTGGACTTAATCAGAAAAGCATTAGAGGTTGTTTTGTTTTTTACAATAAAACCTCTAGGTGTGTTTTTCTTTCCACAGACTCTTTGTGGTGATCTGTGCAGCTGCTGTGCTGTTGGTGTCGTGTTCACACTCAGCAAAAGGTGAGCGTGAAAGGCTTGTAATGCTCGTGATCACAATCGTGACTGGGAGGTTTGCACAACTTTTCAAAAAGAGGTGGAAAATGTGTTTTGGTTGTGTCACATTTGGAGTATAAAGTGGAAAATAGACCCTGTAATGGCCAGAAATTTCATAATTTAGTTTTAATTTGATCATCTCAGTTTGCAGTATTTGGGTTTTCATGGTGATTACATACAACATAAGGATGTGGACAGTGTGATCTGTCAAAACAAGAGAGTGCTGTTGGTTGTTAAAATGTGCACAAAAGCAGCAGATCAAATACTGAAGCTGAGAGTTGTTTTAAGTTTAACGGGGTTGTTTTATTCACCCAAAGTTTTCAGTAAGTGACTGCAGGTCTGAACTGCTGCATTGGCCTACTAAACTAAACAAAGGCCAAATTGAAGTCTTCAGGTCCTCGTTGTGATCAGCTGAGGTCTCACCATGTGACCCCGTGCTGCTTGACCTTCCCTCATCTTTCTGCCGTTCTTCCATTCAGTGATTAACATGGAAGAAAATCTAAAATACATGGGGTGGGGGGAACAGAAACACTAGAAAATTTAGTTCAGTAAACAGTAGGACCATAAAACATAAAATGGTTGAACAAAATGCAGTGTTGCCCCTAAGAGGTGGCCTGGAAGGGCCATGCAAAACTTTTGGCCACCCCAATGGCCCCCTGCAGGAAGAAGTACAACCCCAATCCCCCAATAAATTACATTCATGTTCACATAAACCATATTTTCATCGTCTTTAATCCAGACAGAAATGTTAAAAGCGCGCGTGTGTGTGTGTGTGTATTTATATGATATATAAACTATTTTTTTCATCTCTAAATCAACAAAGACTTCTTGATGTTGGTCTTTAGGTAGTTTGTCCTAATTTCTACACTTAAGGGACCACTGCAATGTCAGCCGTACTACAAATGCTGATCTTTTCAAGTAGGTGGGTTCCAGAGTTGGGGTCAGGACATGAAACACTAAGGTGAAGGACTGATCAGTAGATATGCACTAAAACAAAAAGGCTACTTATTTGTTTATTTATTTGCCTGTTATGTTAATTATGATGGTAGGTGTATAACCATTTATTAATTGAAAGTGCGAGGTGTGTAATTTTCTTTTTGACTGGCCGGCGCTACCGGATAGGACTTTGCACCACCAACATGTGAAGTAATGTGTCCCGCTGAAGCGTTGTTGGGTGCTAAAAGATTCTACAGCTGCTGAATTAGCCTCAGTAATTAGTGTGCGGGGTGTGAGGAGGCAAACCTCTACACCAGGGACTACAGAGGACATTGTCATACATTTCAGTTCAGCATGCACTAGTGCTAAGAGTGCACCAAGTGCTAGACATTGTGGCACCAGTGCGGGTCGAGGCACCTACAGTGCGTTTTAGAAAGGAGCCATGGCTAGCTGCTACTGAGAACACAGTTGAATAATGTATAAGGTAGTAAGGACGAGAGCTTTGATGGCACCACCTGAGCATGACCTCTACTCGATTCTCTGCTTCATTGGCCCTGGAATGTTTTCAAACATTAACTTTTTTAGAGCTTAAGGAATTAGTCATGAGACTTAAGCCAACAGGGGCTGAAACTGATGCTCTCCTGGCAAGGCTACTAAAAGAGGCTTTTCCGGTAGAGGGTGACCATGTCCTGGAAATTGTGAAAAGCAGTCTGTTATCCGGGGAAGTCCCAATCTCCTTAAGCAGGCGGTGGCACGACCCCTGCTAAAGAAACCAGGGCAGGACCTAGCGGACATGCCTAACTTTAGGCCTGTATCTGCATGCCCCTTCATCTCTAAAATCATAGAGGGCTGTGTATGTCAAGCTTATGAACTTTCTACAAGAATGGGGAATTGGGGAGGTCGTTCAATCTGGGTTTAAACCCTTTCATAGCACAGAATCCACAGTATAGAAGGTCCTAGATGACATCCTATTGTCCAATGACTCCGTGATTCTAGTGCTCTGGGATTTGACATCTGTCTTTGACACTAGTGACCATGGCATCCTGTTAAGTCAACCAGAGCAGTATGGGGGGGGGGGGGGGGGGGGGGTAGGGGTAGGGTTAGTAAGTAAAAAGTATTGAGAAAATAACTGTCTGCTGTCATTCTCCCTTACTTCCCAATGTGTTCACTTAGTTCAGCTGACCAGGGGCCATTAACAGAGCCCAGATACAGACTAAAATCTTGTGGGAGCTGTGCTTTCTCGCTGCTGGGTCCAAAGCTCAGGAATGAGCTGCTGCACCCAACGTGAAGCAGGCCCAATTGCTTGCCAGCTTTAAGAGGCGACTAAAAACACATCTGTTTTCTCTGGTGTTTGAACATTAAGGTTGGGATTAGGTGGGTGGCCTTGGCCTGTCTGTTTTCTCTGATGGTGGTCACAAGGCCTGTGGGACTGCTTTTACTTATTAGAACCGGGTTAGGGTATATGAACTTGAATTTGGATTGCTTTGTTTGACTGAATTTAATGTTTTTGTATTGGCGTACAGCAATTTGTTTGTCCTCCTGGGCTTGTGAAAGTGCTCTATAAATAAAGTTGAACTTGAACTGTTTTTTTTTCCCCCATCCCTACAGCTACCAGCCCCACGATAGCTACTGGCTACATCAGAATAAAGAACAACTTCCTGGCACGCCTGAATGCTCCCTACAGTCAACAACCCTCCGTCTTATCTGGTTTGCCATCCAAGGAAGGAGATGTCCGAAAAGCAACTGATACCAGATGGAAATCTAGAGGCACACCATCCATCATTAACCATCAACATCATCCTTTGCCATACACACAAGGCAGCTTCAGTTTTGGCCAAAACAGCCAGGACGCCACGCGGCCTCGGGTCAGAATCGCCAAAGTTCCGAGTGGTGGAGTGAAGCCAGAAAGCAACGTTTTCACTAGAAGCCTTCAACATGGAGGAAATGGCTTCAGTGGAAGGCCGTCCAGAAAGCAGGCACACTTTTTCCCTCTGAAAGAAGAAAAGGTTGGAAATCCTCTCAACTCCAATTATCTCTCACAAAAGAGGGACCATAAGTACTCTAAAGACTCAAAGCGTGAGTTAGACATTCCTACACGTCACCTTGTTCTACCCCAGACAAGGAGACTACATAGTACCCCAATTAAACGTTACAGCGACTACAAGAAGACAAACCAGCTTCCTGCGGTCAGAGTACAAAGTGGATCAACTGGGAGGAACCAAGTTCTCGGCTTCAGAAGTCACTCGGCTCCTCCTGAAGCATCAGTCGCTAGGAGAAATCCAAGCCTAGGACAGCTACCGTCTGTCCCAGACTTGTCACACAACCAAAACTCTGTGAGCAACAAAGAGGTGTTGGGATTCAAAAATGTCCTGTCTTACCCTCTTAAGGAATCGCCAACACAATCAAACAAAGTGATAGGCGATGGACTTGAAGATGGACAGATGGATGCTGCCAGATATGAGCCAAACCCTTTTGGTAAAAAGGGGAAGAGCACTTTTGGTTCAAATTTGAAACGGCCAACCAGAATAAATCCAGCTATCCAAAATAGCATCAGTCAGAAACAGAGTTTTACCAGACATCCAATCAAATTATATCCATCGCAACGTGATGCTGCACCTCCTAAAGATGCTCCAGCAGAAGCCAGGAATTCAGAAGGGTTCGTCCCTACAGTTCGTTTAAACTCTAAGGATAGCGCCCCAAGTAAGACATTTGCTCCACTGGACCGATTCAAGTCAGCTTCAAGAAAACCGGCGCAATCCCATAAACCAGAACAACCCATACGACGGATTAGTCACCTCAGAGGGTTTACTGACGCTGTGAAGCAACCTGGGAAGGAAGCTCCTGTCTCAGAAAGATCTCAACAATCCAGCCTGGATAAAGGGATGAACAACTTGTTTAGATTTGCAAATCCACATTTCTCTCTGAAGTACAGCTTTGGTCCGAGAGGAGTATTTGCTTCAGCTCCTGCATCAGAAAAGCCCCAAAGACTAGAAAGTACTTCACCTTCTCCATCAGTCCTAGCCTCATCAACTCCCGGACCACTCGCCATGTGGTTAAACCGTACTGAGCTTCCGAAAAGCGTGAGTAAAGTTGGTGTAAACAGAAACAATACCCAGACAAGGTTCAGCCTCTACAAGGGGAGGTTCGGTTTAAAGGGTTTTGGGATTCAACCACTAGAGGGAGCCAAAGTTTTACCTCAAGGGCCGGATGTGTCCACCAAGCCAGATTTCAAAGGTTTTAAACTTAGGAGTTCACACACCTGGAGCCCTAAACGCATCAGAATTCAACGACGGTACAATCAGGCAGGTGAAACGCAACCAGGTACCAACAGCAGCGGTGGTGTGTCTAAACCACGCACAAAGATTTCAAAGGGTGATGGATCAGTTCCCAGATCTAGTTCTAACGAGGTGACCAACAAGATCCAGATATTTCAGATCCTCCGGCCCGACAAAGACGGAAGTGGGCTGGTTCAAAATAAAACTAGCTGGAGGCATTCTGATCATCGTCCAGGTGTTGCCTCTTCGTCTTACCTGAGATCGGCAGGGAATCCTAAAGCTGCACCGAAACCAGAATCGGAGCCTAAAGAAGCCAAAAAACATCAACTCATACCAGATCAGAGGATCGAGTTTCAGAGCGCTACTAGCAGCATAGTGAGGGGCACACGTGTGAAGCTGTCCAACAGCCGAAAACTCCACAGGTTCATAGTCATTAACTCTACCAGAAACTCACCAATAATCCGACAGCCCAGAGTCAAAGCTGTCACGTACGCCGACATCGTAGGAAGTGCTTCGTTCAGCAGCATTCAAGCGAAAAGTTTCCCTCCTGCTGATCGGGATTTCTTCCCAAATATGACGAGAACAAAACAGGATGAAGGGCCGACCTTGGAGTTCAACGATGGAAGAAACACGAGCGGAAGTCTTCAAGAGGACAGTGAAAATGATCTGGACGATTTGAAAAGTATTGAGAAAAACAATTTTGGAAAAATCGAAGAAACAGACAATGAGATTAAAATATCGGACTTATTTTTTGACAGTGAAGGAAGCGGGAGCGGGGATTTTAATTTGTCCAATGTTTTATCTACATCCAAAGAAAGCCAGGCAGCTGAACGAGATTTGCTCGAGCTAGATTACCTCAGAAAATCTACTGAGAACATCTTTTTTAAGTCGGTGAGATGCCCAGGTGTGGATCAGCGGTAGAAAGATTGAAATGTTCCGACATTAGGAGCAAATTCAATAAAAACGGGAAACTTACTTGGCTTTGTTCTGTTGTTATGAACAAATCTGTCTCTGGGAAACCCTGGAAAACCTCGTTTCTGGTAACGGATCACAGCAAGGTTTCTAATCTGGCAAGCTAAACAAAAAAAGTTTCATATTTTAGTAAAAACATGTTAATTAGTGACCATTATGTAGGAATTTTACTTTTAACTTTCCCGCTGTCCTAATGGGTGACCCTGCCAGGAAAGGTGACCATTGAGCAAAATGGATGGTTTATCCCTTGGGTCCATGTGGCAGGGGTGAGGAGTGAGCCCACCTCACCCCTGCCACATGGACCTCAAGGGATAAACCATCAATCCTGCTCAATGGTCAACTTTCCTGGCAGGGTCACCCATTAGGACAGCGGGAGGGTTAACAATTTCTAAAACATTTTTAGAACAGAACTATTATGGATTTAGTGGAACTTTAATGTCCTATTTGCTTTGGTTTTTAATTAATTTGATCGGGTCAAGAGTCATCCTGCTTTCCATAAACCTCTCATCTCAGGGCTGACCTGTATATTTAAGGCGACATAAACAAAACAAATTTGAGTTTTCAAATCGCAACAGTCATTAAGCATGAGCCAGAAGTGACCAGACGGTTGACGGACGAGGCTACGATTTCCATCGGGCATATGGTTTATGGTCGAGTAATAACTGGAGACGAAACGTTGACTGTTGAATGAGCCTTCATGATGGCACATTGCTCACATTTAATGTAAACTAACTCTACTACCTCAAAAGGAATCCGGGAACAGAAAATTGCGAGCATGAATTGGAACAGGTCCTTTTTATGGCAACGCTGCACCAAATTTCATTGATAATTTGTTAAAACCACCAAGTTGGTTGATCATTTTAAAGGGTGGGTAAACCAAAGTCACATCTTTGGGCTGTTGACTGATTTTTCCTTTTAGGGTTTAATGATTTTCAGAGAAAGATATTTAGTTTAAGCTGTTTATCAGTGAACTATAAATCAATCATGCACAAAATGCTCAGGTGATGAGCTGGTTTTATGTCCACAACATCTCGGAAGGCGTCATTTGTCTTAACTAGCTGCTGACTCTGATGCTAGCTGATTTTTTTTTTTATAGCTCACACTAAATTCATCAAAAACTGCTGTTAAGCAGCTAGTTGGCTAGCATAAGATTTATACAAATAAAAAAATTGAGACATGAAATTGTTTTTGGGTGGCAAAAAGTCGGCTGAAACATCTAAATATTTCCGGCCGTGCCTCAGATTTATTTATTTACTTTTTTTTCCCCAGACACGTTTCGTCTTCCCTTTCAGTTCTGATAAAGTTGTCCTCTGCCTTTCCACGCTTCGTTTTTTAAAAGCACAAATGGCACAATGTTCACACGGGAACAAGATCTGGAGAAAAAGTAAAAAACAAACTAACAGACGTTCAGAAACTTTTACTTTAAGCCTCTTTAAAATAAAAAGTGATTTTTTTCTGGAAGAAAAGATGAGAAGAACTAAGTGTGGTTTAAAACGTTCGCACAGCCCTTTCATTTCATTTGGAAGTAATTTAAAGATGAAATCAAGCCTTAAACATGGCGTGTAAAATATATTTACTCAACACCAGAGTAATGGGATTATTGCTATGAAAAGTCATTGAATGCACCGTTTCCTGCCAAGTGTTTAATTCAAGTGAATAAATCTGTTAAAGCTGTTGAACTGATATTCTTTTTTTCATTTCATGACATTAACAATATAAATGAAAAAGACATTTAAATTAATGTCCCGTATCAGGATTTTTACAGTGTTCATGATCATACACTGTAAAACATTCATTGATTTTGTATCAAAAACAATATTTTAAATGGACATAGTTGACTTGCAGGACTTGACTACATGTTTCCCAAAGACAAATATTTAATTGGTTAATTGAGGAAAAAAACTGATGAGGTGATGGTAAAAAGTTTTACAGTGTAAAACTTTTGTTAAAAAAATACCGAATTCGTTCTCCTGGATGTTAATCAGGTTTTCATGTATTTTAAGTGTTTTTAAGCTGTCGGAAGAAAAAGAAGAGCAGATGACTGGAAAGTCTTAAATATTCATCACCTCTTGTTATAAATCAAATCTGACAACACAGCGTTTGGTTTTTGAAATACTGACTTCCATCTCATTCAGCTCATGGGTTGAATGATATCGTTTCAAGCAAGGAGAGGTGAAACGAAGCAAGGTCGTGGTGGAGGCTTTTAATAAAACGAGTGTATTCCCATTTCTTGTGTCCCCGTTCCCATGCGGATGACTGTTCCATGTCCTGACACAGATTCACCTCTGCTCCCTTCTGGGATTGTTCTTTTATTTCTGCTCAGGCGTTGTAATAAACAATGTAATAGCATAAAACAAGAACAACGCAATTTTCCCAAGCACAGCAATGCATGCTGAATTTTGTTACAATGACATTTATCTTTTTAATTTTCTCATTACCTGGAATTCTGATGGCATGGATTCTCCACTAGGTGGCGGTAGTTCCTCATTTTCATTTCTCCACTTGCAGAATAAATGATCTAAGAAGTGCTCTGGTAGCCCTAAAAAAAAAAAAAACTTTTTCAAAATAAGAGCTTCCAGTTAGGCCCCACAAGTCTAAAAAGGAAAACTAAAAAGGAACGGGCTCTAAACTCAGATCAAAGCCATTTCATTCACACGACCTGACCCCCTCACATTTCTCCATTCTACACCTAAAAACAGCTCCATCTATAAGTGACCGGGCCCCAGAGCAAGGAGAAGGTGGAGGAGAAGGGGGATCAACCAGTCACATTATACTCTGGATTAACCCCCCCCCCCCCCCCACCACCACCACCACCACCACCACCATCCCACACACACACACACACCATCGACTTACTTATACCCGTGGAAATTAGGGCCATCCACTTTCCCATAGAGCTGTGGCGCATTAATGTGTGATGATGTGAGGAGGGGTGTGTGTGCGCAGGCATGTCGGGGCGTAGACCCACAATCACCTTCAGAGTTCTTCTCCTCATGCGGCTTTAAGTTCCCCACAGTCATTCATTTCTGTAGTTCTTCTCACTTTCTGCAGGTCTTTTGATTCTTTGAACCTGGATGCTTTTTCACTCATTTTCTGCTCTTTGATGCAACTTTTTTTCCAGAGATGTTTTTGTTTGGAAAGTCATCAATTTCCTAAACTGGAGTTGGACTTAACTCTGACCTACTGTGACTCATTTAGGCAGAAACATTGTTTCCTAAACTTAGGAAACCAGTGCTGGTGTCAAATGTGAAAAACACATTAAATTAAAACATTTATTTTGATGCCTCTTAACATTGTAACATAGTATAGCTCAGGGGGAGGCCATCCTGATCCATGAGTGCTGCTATCCAGCATGGTTTTGTTGTTTCCTGCCTGCTCCAACACACCTGAGTTTCATCAGTAAGTGATTAAAGGCCTCTTCAGAGGTTTATAACCTGGTGAACAGATGATTGAACCGTTTAATCTAGTTTGTTTGAGCAGGGAAACAACTAAAACATGCTGGATAGCAACACTGAAAGAACAGGATTGCCTACGCCTGGTATAGCTATAAATATATTGCAGAGATTTAAAAAAAGGGGGAAAAATTAATAATATTGTTCTTTTGCATTTGTCTAAAAACCTCTGTCAATCATCAAATCAAATCAACTCAACTTTATTTATACAGCACTTTTCATACAAAAAATATGCAACTCAGGCCTAGTCCACACGTAGACAGGGGTTTTTAAAAACGAATATCCGCCCCTCCAAAAACTTGCATCCACACCACCGCGTTTTAAAAACAAACTGTCCACACGTACCCGGATGAATACGTTGTTAAGGACATGCCAGGCCTGTAGGTGGCAGTACTTCCCCCGTTCTTAACCTCGTCCTTCGTCTGTGGTCTTCCGCAAGGAGCAGTAATTCCGCTTGCAAAAACAAACAAGCAAAAAGCGCTTGGACAATTGATGGATCGGGTAGTGACAGAGCGCAGCTCTGAGGGCATCCATGATGCCGGCTAGTGTAAACACAGGTCGCACACGTGATGTCAGCATTTTTTTGTCGCGGAAAGTGACGTTGCGGACCTTAAAACTCCGGTTTTGTCCGTCCACACGCAGACACCCAAAACGGAGAAAATGCAGATCTTCACTTTGGCCGGAGTTTTTAAAAAGATCCGTTTTCGTGTGGATGACAGGCCAAAACGTAGAAAAATATCTACGTTTTGGCAGATCCCCGGCTACGAGTGGACAGGGCCTTAAAGTGCTTCACAGATTAAAATGGCCCCATAGATCCCATATTCTCATCCCAGCCCCCCTCCCCAAGTATAAAACAATTGACAATTACACTTTCCCTCCCGCAACTAATTTCCAAGGTGAACGTACACTCACCCACACACACACACACACACACACGCACACGCACACGCACACACACACACACACACACACACACACACACACACACACACACACGTGAACAACAGAGTAAACAACAGGTTGAGTTCAGATGGGTCAGGTAATGGACGACACATCATCAGTGGAGCCATCTGCCTCGACAGCAACAGATCCACGGCAGCAGCCAAGACACTGGCCCATGACGCCCAGCGGGGGAGGGCGGAGACCCCCACCACTGCCCGGGCACTACCCGAGGAGCGCCCCGGCCGCCGTCGCCAACCACCGGCCCCAAGGCAGAGGGCTCCGCAGAGGAAACACTGGAGGATTAAAATATATAACATGTAAAATGACAAAAGCTAATATGGATAGAAAGAAACTGATAAAAAGTGATTATAAAGATAGTAAAAGAAAACATAATCATGTAAAAACACTAAGATGTAAATAAAATAATAAAATTAAGTAAAAAAGAAAAAAAGTATATATATAAATAAACAAATACGACAAGCGATACAGTTAAACAGACTAGATAAATAGTAATCAGTAAAAAGCTAAGCTAAAAAGGTGGGTCTTGAGCCTATTCTTAAAAGCCTGGACGTTCCCTTCGGCCCTGAGGTCCTCCGGCAGCCCGATCCAAAGGCGAGGGCCGTAATACTTAAAGGACGCCTCGCCGTGGGTGTGTGTCTTAACTTTAGGGATAACTAGGAGACGGCTGCCAGAGGAGCGCAGAGACCTTGAGCGTTTATATAGTAAAAGCAGCTCTGAAAGATAAGAAAGCCCGAGACCATTAAGACACTTAAAAACCATTAAAAGAACCTTAAACCCGATCCTGAAATGTACGGGGAGCCAGTGCAGTGATTCTAAATCCGGAGTGATGTGCTCACGCTTCCTGGTCTTCATCAGGACACGTGCTGCTGAGTTTTGTAAAAGTTGTAAACCTGAGATGCTCTTTTTGGGAAGACCAGAAAGCAGGGCATTGCAGTAATCAATTCTACTGGCTATTAAAGCAACAACACGTTTCAGACTGAAAGCAGCCATTGGACATTACACACTCACGTATTTAGCATCAGAACACCTCTGGTGTGAGAGGTTCTCCACTCAATGTCAGAGGGAGAAACAGCCAGTGTTGTATCAGGGCACCATACTAGTGAGAGGAGCATACATGCAGATAATGCGCATGCATAGGTTGTTATATGTGTTTGACAATCTGACAATGTATGGTGCTACAGAACCCCATTTCAACTTTAGGACAAACGACCAGAGTCCCAAAAAGACAAACACCATTTCAAGTCACGGGCAACAGTTGGACCTAGAAAGGTGCGACCGGTGTTTAGCACTATCTCGTTTCTTCCGGCATCGCGGGTTTCTGGTTCCAGTAGAAGCGTCTCAGGGAAGGTACCCAAAGGGAAGGGTGAGTGTTCTGTGACTGTATTTGTGTTCAAAACCTAGCTTCTTTGCAGATTCGCTATAGCAGCTTTAAAGAACAATAGCAAAAGATATCAAACAGTAAGCTTATAATTTAGGTACCACCAGATTTTAATATGCTTGGTCTGAAAACTGCAGTCCTCTCCTACTTGGTCGACAATGAGCCTTGAAATTTGGACAACCTTGGTTGCATCTTAGTGACATGATCTGTCTTCAAATGTGGCCATCAAAGGATGCAACTCCTAAAAATAGACACAGCCTATGTCAGAAGTTTGGTTTTTTTTGGGTTAGGCTAAGTTGCTACTACCTGGCTGGCTAAATTATTAGCTAGTTAGTCACTAAACTAGACACTCTAAGCAAACAAGAGAACATAGTTTCTTGTTCTTAAGATTGACTAAATTAGGCTAGTAGCATGGCTAAAATATTAACTAGCTAGCTAGGACTTGGCTAGTAACTTATTAGCATTCTGTCTCTAAGCACATTTATCTTTTCTCTTAAGGTAGTCTGGAACAAAGACACTAACCGGCTAAAATATTAGCTAGCTAGTAAATCAAAGGTGAGTAACTTTGCTAATACCATCCTGCACAAAAATATTTTCCCCAGATGCAGAAGTGGAAGGCATCCCTGGTTATACTACTTGCCTTAAAGTGTCTGCTGTGAGAAATAGTTGAAATTCCAGATTTATCGTTTTAGACTCAGTAGCTCAGCCTTTGTGGTGTTCTTATTTAGATTATGTGCAGACAATTTTTGACGTTTGCCATTTGTAGATGTTTTTTAAGTCTGTTGCTTTGACTAAACTACATACCTCAGAGATGAATAAAACATCTTTGACCAGCTGAACAACAAAGCATCTTATAGGTGTAACTTTCCGATATAGCTGTGTTGCTGTAGCAAGTTTTTAGGCCTTCTATTTGTTCTTTTGTCCTCTCAGTTGTTCCCTGTCCTCATCTTTAGGCACAGACTTTATAATACGGTCTGGTTAGGTTAGGTTGAGAGGACTGAACTGGAGGAGGGGAAAATCCACCATAATCCTAAGAAAACCTTCAGAAAGTTCTCACAATGATCGATCAAGACCACTGGAAAAACATCCTTGAAAGTCGAGCTGTTTGAAAAGACAGAATGAAGACATGAAAGGTGGTTAAAAACTATTGCACAGTTTGGGGGTTTCCAACGAACTCCTCACGTGCGTGTGTGTGTGTGTGTGTGTGTGTGTGTGTGTGTGTGTGTGTGTGTGTGTGTGTGTGTGATAACAGGCAACAGGCTGGTGTTTTCTTGCAGAAAGCTGCCCCCCCCCCCCCCCCCCCCCGACCCTACCACCATGAGGGGAATTCTGTACCATGTGTCAGAGGTTTTCAGAGAGCTTTCAAGGAAAAATAAAGTACAGAGGCCTCCCAGTTTCACCCCCGAAATACTTCCTCCCCACCTCTCCACCTCCCACCCTCCTTCTTCCCCTTCTCATTTTCCCTTCACACAATCCGTGAAATGCTTTTTTTTAATGGTTTTGACCTCCATCCTCCTGAGACAAGCTACGGAGTGACAGAGCTAATTTTGCACGTCCTGTAACACGTAGACGTTTCCATAATCAGGGCAAAACTGTCTCTTGCGAGGTCACTAAAGACAAGAGGGTTAGCACTGGGTGGGTGGTGGGGTTAAGGTGGGGGCAGGAAGAGCACAAACGAGAAAGCCTTTTTGTTTGGCCAAGAACACAGTGTGAAAGAGGGGGCGGTGAGGAAAGGGGAGCTGGAAGTACATTGGAAACCAGTTGAGTCGACTGCGGCAGTTGCAGCCCAGATGCTTATCCAGCAGCTGGATTTAACCATCGATCTGAACGTTAGACCGTGTGCAGCGTTACGGTGATAAAGTTTGCCCTGATAGTTGGAAAAGACCAACAAAAACAGAAAATGAAGCTTAGAGGAACACTAAACGACGGGAAGGAAGTCATTTTTCCACACGGACATCAACATTCCCCCATGAGCAGCGGGAACAAAGGCTGTGTCCGTGTCCTAATCCAGAGTGCTTCCTGTGGTCCTTGCAAAGGAGGAAGTCATAAAGACAGGAAGACTTCCTGTATTATTGCCGACTTGCTGCAGCACGATGGACCGTACAGGATTTGAGAAAGCCGAGTACTCGCCGTGTAAAGCCATAAACATAACACTTTCAGCCACCTTCAACCAAGCCAAGACACACACGATGGGAGTTTTACACCACCAGTTCTTCTCAAAGGCACTCAGCAGATGAGTAAATGCACCAAAGCGCTTATAAACAGATGCTTTTAAAATACAATGAGGATCATAAGTATCTGAACACCCTGGATTTAGCAAGTTTTCCCACATAGAAATCACGAAGGGGCCCCAAATTCACGTTGTAGGTGCGTTCCCACGTTGAGAGACAGCATCTAAAATAATTCAGGACATCACGTTGCATGATTTTTAAAAATGCATTTGTTTTGCACAGCTGGTCAGAATGTTAGACCTTATTTTCTGCTTTTGGTTGATCTTATTTTTATCTTGTGTGTTTTTATCTTATCTGTTTTTCTTATGTGTCCGTCGCTGCTGCCTCTTGGCCAGATCATGGTTGTAAATTAGTTCTCAATCGACTCGTCTGGTTAAATGAACAGATTTAAAAAATAAAACAATAAATCGCAAAATAGCCTGAAGTTTTATCACAGGTTTTATTATCACCACTACTTGAAGATATGTACAAATACTTAATTAATTACTTGATATACATTTTATAATATCTGTTGAAGGATCTATTTTGCTCCATTGCGAGTTTAAAATAGTTACTCATCTTTAGAAAAGAACAGTGAATCCATGCCTGAGCTTCCATGTGCAACAACCTTTCCACAGAGCTGGACTTTCTCAGCTGAAACAACATTGTTCAAAGTAAACTCGTGACCTTACCTTGACCCTTTTGAGGACCTATTTTGTTCTTTACTGTTCTTAAGCAGTGACATCTCTGGGAACCTGAAGATCATGTGAAGGTGATTAAAGGTCCAGAGGACATACAACGCGTGTTCCCACGTTGAGCGAATTCACATGAGACGGTATAAACGAGGTTATTGGGTCTGCTGTATGTGTGCAGGTGTGTTACTGTGTTTGAGCTGTGCAAATCTTTACACTGAGCTGAAACACAAACTATGAGGTGGTGATCTTCTGCCCGCTGGGACGCCAGGTCCACCTGCTGGCCTCGGTCCGAAGCAGCCTGAACTGTCTCCTCCTACCTTGGCTGCCATCCATCATTCCTCCTCCTTTCCTGTGTCTTTCTTGACCAGAAACGTTGTCACCTCTGTGGAATGTCACCAAGACAACCAGATGGCAGCTGTACCCATTCTCCGCTCAGCTGACCAGGGTTTCATTCTGGCCACATTTGGCCTTTAAATGGAATCAGAACAGGTCAGACTTGAGAACAGGTTTCTGTCTCGGGGTATAAATGGAGTGTCTTCTCACTCATTCATTCAAATTTTGCAGGGAGAGAGAATATCACAAGGAACATTTTGGCTCATGATGTTTGAAGTCACTGCTTTGGTTGTGCAGCTTGTGAGCCGATCATGTGAAAAAGGGGAAATAACCAAGCTGACTTGATAAAAAAGTAGGTCTTGAAACGCCCCTGGGACCGTCTCTGCTTGACATGTGGAGTGTATGACGAACAAAAGTCGGAGGAACACGAGACAACCGGAGGTTTGGCTATCATGTCATACAGGTGACGAGTGAGAGAAGTGAAGGCATCTGCAGGTGTGTGTGTGGGTGGCGTAGCTGTCCTCGTTTCTAATTATTCCCGAGGTGTTGAATCAGTAGCACCCAGCTGGGACTGAATTACCATTTGTTGGTAAGGATGATACAAATATTGTATACAACACCGGACACAAGTTTTGAGGTTAACCTAAATAGTTTCC